GCAGCCAAAACTAAATAAATAAAATTAATTAATTTTAAAAAATACGTCTCATAAGCTTTTATCATACCTATTCTAATTTCCTTCACAGTGCCCTGCCTTTGCGACTTTTTCATTGACTTTTATTGAAATTAGACTTGAATAGCTCAATTCCCATCTTGTACATGGGATACCCAGCCCATCTGGGTCCCTAATGGTCATGTCAGATCCTGCTGGCCAACCAGCTCACAAATGCCAGCGAATTCAGGAAAACTGTTATTTGTTTTTCTAATTTTTATTTTTGTTTTGTTGCGTTTGACTGAAAATCTCCTGCAGACCACATTCTGGGATCAAGCACCTAGCATCTGCTCCAAACCATACATTCAGTGACTAACTCCTCATTTTTACCAATGAAGAAACAGAGACCCAGAGATATTAAATCATTTCCATAGTGGAACAGCTAAGACCAGGATTCAGGTTAGACTTTTGCCATCCACCATACTGCCCCCACTGCATACTTACTGAACACCTTCTACATGCCGGGCCCTGTGCAGGAAGAGACAGCCCATAGAATATCTGAAAGAAATGGTCTCTGCCCTTTAGAAGTGTAGTCTTAGCGTCCAAGACTAAAAAGGCATGAATCCACCAGGGAAATGTATTCAATTGCTGAGCACCTATTATACAAGACACTGAGCTGGACGCTTGATAATAACTGACGTGGATCAGGGGTTCCCGTGGATCAGGCGTTCCCGTGCAACCATCCCACTTCACACCTGTGTCTTATTTGACCCTCCCAGCAGCATTACTAAGTAGTAATATCAGAATCCCACTTTTCAGAGAAAAAACTGCTGTAAAGGAATGTTAAGTAGCTTGCCTAAGGTCACACAGCTAGGAGTGGAAGCGCTGGGCTTTTCCTGGGTCTGACTCCAGAGCCAGAGCTCTGATCCAATGTTCTCCCCAAAATCACTATTATCAGGCAGAAGGGATATCAAGAGAATAGCACTGGCACTTACCCTTAAGGTAACCGTAGGCTTGCCTGCTTCATCACCACAACTCCTGCTCACAGAGGCTACACCCAGGCTGCACCGTACAGGCAGTTTGGACCAGCCAAATTCAAGGTAGAAAGAGAATTGCCATTTTGGATCTCCCCCTTAGTAGGCTTGGCCTCCATATGGTCCCAGAGTGACATGGGGAACACACACCAGCTCAGCTTAAGAGACTTAGGGCACTGTATGGCACCATAAAAGCCTGGCTCAAAGGAACCAATTTTAACAAAGATTTGTATAGGTCTTTCATACTGTAACATTCAACACAATCTCCCCCCACTTCAACCACCTGTCTGGCACCCTAATACCATACACATACACATAATAAACTACAAGCATATTTTCGAGACAAAAAAAAAAAGCCCAAGAACTTACAGGTTATCTAAATGTGGTAATCAATTTTGCAAAACTGAACACCAAGATATATGGTCTCACTGGAAGAGCATATTTAAAATCAGGGCTGTCCTTGAACATGAGAATTATATGGGGATATATATGGCTGTCATAAAGCTAGATCACTATAAACACACACCATTTTCTTCTTCTGGAAGTGAAGAATGGCTCCTAAGGTTTTGAGAAAATAAACATTGGTGGATGGTTTCTTTTTAACCAAGTGGTTGATTGGTGAGAATACGTACCAAATACCTGAGGGCGATAGTTTATGTCAAAGATTTCAAAGGAGAAGCCTACATTTCATACTAAGTATGAATCTTGAATTATACCCTTATAGCAAAAACAAGCATCCTCAGTATCAGTATACAGACCCCTCAAATCTTAGTCCCAACATGCTTTTCTAGTTTTTCTCCCTATTCCTCCCTCTCTGCCTCACCAGACTATTGCCATGCCTGGGATCTTGTAGGCACTTAACTAAAAGTTGTAGGAAGAAAAGAAGGAAGGAAGGGAAGGGAAGGGAAGGAGGGAGGAAGGTAGGAGAGAATGAACAAATGAAATAGTAAATATAATCAGGGCTTAAATGAATTCATGCTATCTCCCTCCTCCCCTCTATGAAATCCTACTCTATATAAAGGATCCCATAAACTCAGATCAAAGTATCATTTGAATATGACACAAGAAGCTTCTAACTAACCCAGAGCAGTGTTTTTCCATTCTGGCAGCACATTAGAATTATCCAGTGAGCTTTCAAAAAACACTAATGCCAGGGCCCCACCCCAGAAAATATGATTTAGTTGAACTGGAGTGAGGCCCAGGCCGAGGTGCTTTTTTTCTAATGTGCAGACAAGGTTGAGCATTTCTGGTACAGCCCAACCCCCTCAGAGGTCCAGAGAGTTGATGTTACTTCTCCAAGGCCAGAGAGCTGGTGGGTGACAGAGACAGGACAGGAACTCAGCGCATCACTGAGTCACTCTAGCCTATATCAGCTCTTGATCTCATGAAATTCTTCCTGCTCTCTTACATCTCTCAGACTACAGTTTTTCTAATTCATGTGCCAGGTGCCAGGTACATGGCAGTGAGCAAAACAGCCAGTTTGCTCTCATCTCGGCCTCAGCAGG